GGGGGGGGGAGGACTATAGGAGGGTGGAGGTCAGCGGCGCCAACGTACCGAACATGCCAATCTGGCAGGGCAGGCTGCCGGGGGACAGGGGGGGTTTTCGGTGGTGATGGTGGTGCGTGCGCACGTAGTCCCGCAGGTTGGGGGCGCTACAGGACACCCCCAGCATGGAGGCGCTGAAGAGGCCAGAGCAGTGTGAGCCTGTGTGACATAAGCCAGGTGGGAGGGGGAAAGGGAGGGGAGGTGAGTGTGTTGGGAGGGGAGGGGGAGGAGGAGGGAGGTGCAGGGTGAGCTTTAGTTCATCACACACACACACACACACACACACACACACACGCACGCACACACGCACGCACACACGCACGCACGCACACACGCACACACACACACGCAAGTGCTGCTGTTATTCACAACAGACGGCTGCCATGAATAACTGCATTAAGAAAGGCTGCACGTATGTCAACAAATAAGTTGCCGCTTGTTCCTGGAAACCACGACATGCAAACCGGAGGCGGCCGCGCGCGTGCGCGCAGCACGGTAAGTGCGGAAAAGAAGAAAAAAAAGGCGGTGAAGGAGGAACAAAGTGTGCGCACGAATGAACCCTGCCAGTCGCTCATCTGCGGTTTGAATGGTGGGAAAGTTGATTTGCCCTTGGAAGGGACGAGAGAGGGGTGACCTCAAAATGGAGTCTGCTCCTCACTGGTAGCTATTAAAAGTCTGACGACGTGTGGCCGAGGCCGTCCTCGGTGACACCTGCTGCTCAATTGACCTCCACGGGGCTGGTGACAAAACAAACAAGGTGAACTCTGGTGACAAGACCTGTCGACACAACTTATGATCAACATAACCTCCAATTTAGGTAAGCCTTTGTGCACAATTTGGGGGTGGACAACATACAGCCGCAGTCCAAACTCGCCCCGCTCTTTAATCTGGCCCTTTGAGCATTACATGATCATGAGTCCTGTGACACAAGTCTCGCACTATTTTAGCTATTCTTTTCCTGAAATTGTTTCATTAAAATGTATTCTTTATTTTCATGTATTCATTTCAAATTCATTGTACTGTGTGATTAATTTTTCTCATGAATTGTTTTCAGTGATTTGTTGTAAAAAATAAAAATACTGAGGAAAACAGCACTCTGAAAGATCGTACTTTTAAGCGTGCGCTTTGTAATGCCACACGTAATTCGAATGAAAAGAATAAAACGTTTTGCGCATCAGGATGAATTCACTCCGCTGTTTGGTGTGTGAGATCTGGCCACTGGGGGGCCTGCAAAACGCACTCATGCAGACACTCATGAAGAAGAGTTTCACAATTATGCTAAGTGATTGAGTAAGAAGAAAGAATATATGCCGTGGGCATAATCTTATCCCGTCTGTCTGCTTCGGCTACATCCATTGCTCAGCACTGATGCTATTCATTAGCCCCTCTATGGCATTTTGCCTTGTTTGTTAGCATTACGCTAGCAAACTTAACGTACAACTGCAGACGGGTGACTGGGATGCACATGAGCGTGGCGGCAGTTGTGAAAAAGAGAAAAGGTGTGACAGTTGAAGAGGAAGTTGCTGTGGGCGGATGTTGTGCGCCCCATAAAAACACACGCACAGGCAACGGCGACGGCAACGCACACACGACAGAAAGGAGGCGCCCACCTAGGCCGCTGGCTGGTTTGATCTCGGGCGACTGGCGCGAGCCCGAAGGGAAGAGTCGGTGCGACGTGCAGCCTTTGGACGACTGGGTGGGCGAGGTCTCAGAGAGGACCTGAGCGGCGTTAACACCGACACGTGACTCGAGGGACCCACTTGACAGAAACGTACTGCAAGTGGCAGGCGGACAACACGGAGGGAAGGGGGGGCGGAAAAAAAAAAAAAAGGCATCTACGCAAATGACTTTACCTCCATGGAGCCCGTCTTGCGGTTGCGAATCATGGGCGGGCGTCTCAGGATGTTGATGGGCTCGGACACAAGAAGTGCCTGGTCCGTTTGGTCCTGAGAGAGATCCTCCAGGCTGCCCTGGTTGGGCTTTTTGTCCTGATTCTGATTGGTCAAACAACAACGATTGCCAATGCAATCATTCTGTCCGCCACGTTGGTGAACGCACCTCTGAAGAGGCCGGCCGGAAGCCGAAGCCCAGCGGCACGTTTTCCTCGTCCTCGCAGCCTTTGACCCCCGGGCTGAAGTGCAGCTCCACGTGGAAACGCTCCTCCGAAGAGGGCTCCTGCGGACACGCCCCCGCCGTGTGAAACGGAACCAGGACAACCAGAAGAGCAACCGGACAGCAACGAGTCAAAGTGTCCGTTTCGTGACGGCGCCCGTCGCGGCGGCCTTGCAGTCGCCAGATGACGGAGAGAATATCAGCAATCAATCACCTTGTTGTTGTCTTCGTACAGCATGATGACGATCTGGGTCATGTAGTTGAGCTCAGTCACGGCGCTCAGGTAGTCCATGGCTTGCTTCCACTGCTGGTCTTTTTCATCCTTGAAAGATTGAAATGCATTCATTTGAAATAAAATGAGTCCGGTTGCTCCACTCTGTGAGCCAACGCAACATTTTAGGAAAGAAATGAGTCGCAGCAAAAGGGTAGAATTTTTCAAAACGAACATTCGTCTTTCGAGCAATATTTTCCAGAAAAATCCCAATCTTACGGCTCATTGAATTGGAATGGTTTCATCACGACCGTAAACGCTCAAGTGAGTCTGATATCGCCACGGACAAAACGTCCTGAATCTAAAAAGTTTTTTTTTTTTTTTTAAACACAGTGTCAAGTTACGGCAAATATAGTGATCGTTACCCTCCACCTGTGAGGCCGTATTTTAAGACATGATGGGTTTTTTTTGTGTGTGTGTGTGTGTGTGTGTGTGTGTGTGTGTGTGTGTGTGTGTGTGTGTGCCGAAGTGTGGAGTCCATTCTCTACTCAACACAGTCAGACTTTTGAAATGCTTCCCTTCATAGCGAATATTGCCTGAACCGTAACGGCTAATGCGCAGAAGGTGATCGAAATGAGCATGATTTGACGCTGGCCTGTGTGCCATTCTAGCTCGGCTCATCCACCTGAAAACGCCTTCCGCGCTGTTGCTTTGATATTAATGCATTTTGGAGTGACACGAGAAGCTTCAGAAGAGCATTAGAAAAAGTGCATACGTCCAAGAGTCCGCCGTAGCGGAAGACGCTGAGCAGGGAGTGGACGTGGCTCTCGCTGGTGAAGTAGAGGCGCGTGCGGACGTGGCGACCCGGCGACATCACCCCCCGCGAGTACCTGACCAACGACAAAATTGTCACACAGGAGCAAGCCGGTCTTCGTAAACCAGGCCTCCCGGTGCAGATCTCACAGCGGGTGCAGTTTGTTGACGGCTTCGTCCTCGTGCGTCCTCTGCAGGTCCAGCTGGATCTTCTTCATCAGGGGGACGCAGTACGCCTGAGCGATGTCCAGCTTCTCCGCTTTGCTGATGCCGTATTCCTAAAGAAGGGAGGGCCGCTTTAGCGTCGGGAGGACCCAAACAACGGACGTGGAAAACCGAATTGCATTCGCAGGGAGCAGATACTGAGTGTGAACAGGGAGATTCACCGATGTCGGTCGCAAACACACAAAGCGACTTTTGACCTGCGGTATGACGATGTCGGCCAGCGCTCGGGAGAGGCGGAAGAGCTCCAGGGTGTCCGCCAGGTCCAGCGAGGAGTTGTGCTGCGTGTCGTACTTGATGCAGTCGTAGATATCCGGGATCTTACTGATGTCGTAGCGGCCGCTCTTCATGCGGAAATCTCTCTCCAGTTTGGACCAGCGCTGCAGCATCAGCTCCAGCGTCTCGCTGTGGTACAGTTGCAGATCTTGAGGGGAGGAGATTGGGGAGGCTCGCGTCAGTTTGTGGAGGCTGCAGTTTATTTCGCTTCAAGCCCTTTTGAATATGCGTAGCTAAATAATCATACCCCCCCCTCACACCCCAGGAAAAAAGAAAATGGCGGCAGCGAACTTCACATCGAGCACTAGATAGCCAACAATTCTTTTTAAAAAAAAAGATGCCAGTTGAGGTTTTCTATTCTATTATAACTACCACAAAGCAGAGAGAATAAAATATTACGTACTGAAGCAAATGGTATAACCTTGCCGATAGCTTAACGCTAACACATAACGTGAACCCATTGAAAGAAACTAGCATTGAAATCGCAGCACTTATAAACCTTGAAATCACAAATACTTGAACACAAACGGTTGCAAAATATGCAGACAGAGCATTGACTGTGCTCACAAATGTTTATCCATTGCAAAAAAACAAAAAACAACATTATGGCAGCTTAGTTTTAGTTTCATCAAATCGTCATCGAGGACAGGACAGTATGTCTGTATGTAGTACAGTGCCCCCTGGTGGTCATGGCTCATACATCAGAAGGTGACGCAATGTCCATCGAATTGAAGCAAAAAAAAAAAACTGGCAAAAACTCTTTCTATTCCCGTGATTAATGTCATTTCCGTAGGTTTTCAGAAATTACGATATAGAGTGCTATTTTTCTTCTTAAAGAACACAACCTTTTCTTTTTTTGTTTGTTGGCTTTCTTTGGGAGGCTGGAATGGGTTCATGGCCTCCGATATAGCGGCGTGCGTTCACGCAGGTACCTGAAGACTTGGGATCCTCCAGTCGTTTGCGAATTTGTGAGGTGAGGCTCTGGATGAGAGCGTACACTTTGTCGCAGGTTTTGACCGGGTTCTGGATGACTTTCATGGAGTTCACCAGCGATGGGCTGCTTGTTGGCGCGAGCTGTGATCCAGCGTAAAAAGAAAAAAAAAAAAAGGGGGGGGACAGATTGACCTCCCTACACCAAAACAACAAGCCCATCAAATGAAGTCCCCGGTCACCTTCTGATAGTCGTCTCGTGAGAACTCCTGGTCCTTCTGCATGATCTCGTGCAGCCTGGCTTTCACCTTCTGCTGGCAGTCGGTCAACGAGTCGCTGTCACTGTCGAGCAGCCCGTTCATGTTGGCGCTCTTCACCATCTGCACCAAAATCGGCGTCAGCTCCCCTTCGAGAGCCAAGAGGCCCTGCGGAGAAAGCAGACAAAAGCCCAAGATGGACGCGCCGCATGGGGCGAACGTGTTCTTCTGGATGTCATTTCGGTGACGACGAGCGACCTTGGCAAACGCCGCCGCCGTCATCTGCACCCGGCCTTCGTCGGAGGCGTAGATCTTCAGGTCGTGGCGGTAAGTGCTGTGCAGGCGGAGGAGGCCGCAGCCCGGGAAGCCGGCGTAGTCGCCTGGAGGGTTGCGCATCGTGTGAAGTCTCGCGTTTAAACTTGGTGACATTTGAAACATGCTGAGAGAAAATAACAAAGCTGTTCTGATTGCACCCACCCAGGAACAGCAATAAAGGACGCAGTGCCTGAGGCAGCCTCACTTTCATTTCAAATGTCTCGTGACTTTTTTTTTTTTTCAATGCTTGCCATTTGGCATAGCGGCGAAATGGTGCGGTTCAAAGCATCAACACATTGAAATGAAAGTGAGTAAATCTAAAATCCCGAAATGAAAGAAGCCAGCCACCGCGCGGATTGTTTCAATGATGGCGAGAGTCAGGCAATACCGGGTGCTAAAATATTTGTGTTAATGGTGCTCAAGGTGACGAAAGCATCGTAGTGCCGGATATCAAATCGCACCGCTGCTTCGGGCATTTTCTTGCAGACGTACGACGTATCCTTGACAAAGTGCGAGACAACTTGTTCTGCTCACAGCTCCAGACTCAAATAGAGTGGATGCGGCATGGGGTGATGCAGTGGTTAGGGATGACGTGAAACGGGGCCCGCATCAGGCTGGCCGTGAGTTAATCTACGGTGTCCTGTAGGGCTGCAACGATGAATCGAATCATTAAAATCATTCCACCACGAACAAAAGCCGAAGCAAAATCACTGCCGCCGATGAAGGCATCGTAATGCACCCCGAGGACAGACACACCTACCAACCGCTATTTTTATGCTCATTCGTTGACGCCCACGTCACTCACCAGGCCAGGCAGCATCTTTTCATGCCGTACATTCAAAGTCACAGAAAACGCAGTCTTGAACACAAACAGGACGGCGACCCCAAACGCACAATCATGACAACAGCGGAACCTCTCGTGCAGATTTTGCCGGTTAATTATGCAACATCAATTTGTATCCAATGAGTCAATGGCATGATTGGTTGAATGACGGCTGCAGGCCGACTTGAGAAACGGTGTCGGTAAAGTGAGCCAAGTATCCTGTGAGGCGGGGATGCGGGGGAGGTTGCACTCAAACCTGAGCGTTCGGAGATCCCCTTCCGCAATTTCCAATACCGACCGACTTGTTTGTTGCTTTAAGTGCCCGGTTGTCGCAGACCCCGGTGACGGAACAACCACGGCAACAACAACAATCCACAGCAATCTGCGAGCGGGACGATTAGTGAGGCGTATTCAAATCACGACAGCCAAACCAATTAGTGGACAGAAGGTGAGCGAGACGAGGAGGAGCGGCGCGACCCGGGTCGCCCGTCTCTTACCAAAATCAATAGGGGACTCGCAGCCGAGGGCCCGGCGGCGACCGGCTAGTAGTTTACACAGTGCAAAGACCGGTGAGAAGAGAAGAGCAGAGTTAATCGGCAACACTTGCAGAAGGGGGAAAAGGGGGGAGAGAAAAGTACGGAATGTGTGGACTGTGAGCAGCGCTTGGAGGTTGTCGGTGCGCGTGCTTTCAGATTCGCATGCACGAATACAGTGGAGAGCCCACGAAAAAGGCAGCTGTGCTGAAAGGAAGAAGGGATTGTTTTTCATGTTGTGGAAGTGAAAGGTAAGAACTGAATGTTAACTTGTCAGACCGGATGGTGAGGAGGAGAAACTGTTTGGGAAATCAGCAAGTCCTTTTGGAGGTTGTTGTTTTGTTTTTTTTTTTTTACATTTGAACACTCTTTCACATGGATGAGTTGGCGTTAGTTCCGGTTGGTATTTGTTGGTCTCCCAACGGGGCTGTCATCACTTCTCACTCAATTTGGATTTTCTTCCAGTTTTCATCCCATGTTAAAATTGATTTTTTTTTTTTCTAAAGTGTATCTCACAAGGAAAACACAGACTGGTATACGCACGGCCCCATTCAATTTCTTTTGTTGTAATTAAAAAAATGACTGTGCTGACTGGTCAATGGTATCGTAAATGATTTTGGAAATTCTTGCCGCTTCTTCCTGATGCGTAGTTTGAACAATGAGATCCCTACGATGCTTTCTGCGGACCTTCTGGTCTAAGACGAGACTTCCAAAAATGTCAGGAGAAGTCAAGTACTGCAGAACAGCTGAAATCTGATTCGGGGTGCTCAAAGCTTCAATGCGATTGGTTCATTCTTAAAGGGTGTGCACACTTGTGCAACTGCATTATGTCAGTGGTTTATTTTTTGACTTCCCCGTGCGAAATTATTCCATCTTTTCTATTTTCATTGTAGATGTCACATTCAAGGTGGACAAAGTGTTGAAATAATTTATCTGGATCTCTTTTTTTTTTTTTTTTTTAAATATGACAAAAATCAGAAATTTGAATAGGAGTGTGTGGTAAAATAAAAAGATTGTGACAGCATCCTGTGCGACGTCCAAAAAACTTCCCGGACAACGAGAAATGCTTTCAGTGGTTGGGTTCCCCAACTGACGCAAGTGAAAGTACCCTTAACGTGGCGCAGATTTGAAAACCTCTTTGGCACTGAGATCCAATAAAATGGGTGCAGATGCAGCGACAGGCTTGGAAAACGCCGTCTTTTTCCAGGCAGTGTGGAAGGGGGCTCAAGTGTGCGCGCGTTTGGCCCGTACCTTGTCCTCCGGGGTACATGCAGCGAAAGGCTCTGCCCAGCTCCTCGGCCTGAACCCGGCCAGCGGGCGTCAGCTCGCCGCCCCACTTGAGGACCAGCAGCAGAGACGGAGCCTCCCTCTTGGAGTCTGAACAACAAACGGCATTCAGGATTTTTGGGGAGATTCCATTTCGGGCCCGTTTGTGTTTCCGCAAATATTTGCCGCCATACACTGTGTGATGTGTTCGCGGCGAACAGTGAGCTCAGCTCTCGGCGCGTCAAACAAAAATAGACGGCAAAGCCTCATAAAAGAGCCGCTGTTTATGTGATAAGTGTCGCTTTGGGTTCCCTCTGACAAGCAGCAGGAACCTTGTAAGGTTCTTTTCATGTCCCATTTGCACGACGTTTCACCGTACTTGTAAACGGACTGGCGATGTAAATAAACACACCGCGCCTTTGCACGCCACAACGTCTTTAATCTGACATGAGGCCACTTCCATTCCTTATCGGAGGCTGTCACGGATTTTAGCTGCGCAACATTAGCGATTTAAGCTCTTCTTACGCGCTCACATATTACGATTGCAACATTAATATTGGCCAACGTTACCTTCCTCTTCGCTGGAGGCTTTCGGCTGTCCGTTGCGCAAGTACGTCAACTGGACTTTCCTGTTGATACCTGAGAAATGACCGTACCTGGAGGAATAAACACACACACGCACGCACACACACACACACACACGCACACACCCACACACACACACACACACGCACACACCCACACACACACACACACACGCACACACCCACACACACACACACACACGCACACACCCACACACACACACACACACGCACACACCCACACACACACACACACACGCACACACCCACACACACACACACACACGCACACACCCACACACACACACACACACGCACACACCCACACACACACACACACACGCACACACCCACACACACACACACACACGCACACACCCACACACACACACACACACGCACACACCCACACACACACACACACACGCACACACCCACACACACACACACACACGCACACACCCACACACACACACACACACGCACACACCCACACACACACACACACACGCACACACCCACACACACACACACACACGCACACACCCACACACACACACACACACGCACACACCCACACACACACACACACACGCACACACCCACACACACACACACACACGCACACACCCACACACACACACACACACGCACACACCCACACACACACACACACACGCACACACCCACACACACACACACACACGCACACACCCACACACACACACACACACGCACACACCCACACACACACACACACACGCACACACCCACACACACACACACACACGCACACACCCACACACACACACACACACGCACACACCCACACACACACACACACACAAGCAGAGGCAGGGAGAGCAGGCAAAACAGCGTCATGTGCGCATCTGGCAGGCGGGCACGCGCGGGCGGGTATCACGCGTGCGCATACAGTCAATCAAATTAGTTGTAAATTTGATTTGGCCAAACACACACGAAGCATTCCGGTGACCTTCAAAAGTGCACCTGTGGCACGGTGTTGTGTTCACCGTCAAATTAGGCTGCAGACCAATGAGTCCATAGTTCTCTCGGATCAAACGGGCAGGCAGCTGCCTCGGCGGGCGCGGGGCTTAAAACAAAAGCCTCTGGCGGGTGGCCCGCGTGACACACATGGCAGGCTGTCAGAAGAGCTGTGAGTGCTCCATGGCACCTATTAGCCGTGTCAAACTAAAGCAAACTTGTTTGAAAGTCGCTGCTATCGGGGTCACGTGGAGCAAAAAGTTGAAAGTGGGGAAGATTGAAAAGGTGGAGCGTGTTGAACTGAATCTGACATGATTTTTGATGTTGCACCTTGGTGAAGTGAAAGCTCTGAATTTCCCAAAAAACAAAATAGAGTACTCGAGTACTTATACTCATCCTTAGTCTCGAAAAAAATACATCTCATATCATTGCATCTCTGACTTTTGGTCCAGACAATGAATCAGGTTCGCTGCTGGGCTAAGGTGGCGTGCATGTTTATCACCCCCCCCACCCACAACCAGACCTTTAGACTAAGTCATGAAGTGGCATAAAAGCTGCCTTTCATTTTTGCAGTCAGTCAGTTTTGGACCTTTGGTTTGTGCCACGTCGATAATCATAACGAAGATAACTTGAGACGAACGACGGACATGAGCTGATTAAGGAGGCCCGCATGCACACGCAGCAACACCGCACGCATTGTCGATTTACACACATCCGCACTTGGCTGCGCGTGTCCTGTGGCTGCTTTTATGTGTGTCCTGTTAAAGGCGAGAACGTGATATGGAATTAATGGAGGTGACACGCCAATGGCTGAGCAAAATATTAGAAAACAGTCCCCCAGTATGCGAGCAATGTTCAAGGAGGAGACGGGCTCCTAATATTTCGCATGTCAGGTGGGCTAAAGGAGGGACGTAAATCTGCAACTTTTGGGGGAGGGGAGAAAAAAAAAAAAAACAAGAACAACCACCAAATGAAAAGGGAGAGTGTGCGTACTGGGTGTCAATCAAGCTGGATTCCCTTTTGGAAAGGAGAGAGAAGGAGGGATGGGCAGAGGAGGGAAGAGAATGAATGAACGTCAGACAGAAAATGAGTGAATTGAGGATGAAGCTGGAGAACGATGGACAGCCTTCAGTGCAGCAAGGATTTGGACATGAGTGGATGATGATGATGGCACGAGTGCGGCGGAGACTTTCGTGTGCGTATGTGTCAAGGTTATTTACAGTTCACGAAAACGAGATCACTCAAACCAAAATTGGAAAAAAAAAGAAATGAATGAAAGGGATTTATGAAATTAATTCAAACTAGCAACAATTATATAAAAAATAAAAATGAAAATCCAGAACCATGACAACCCTGTTGTGAGCGAATGTGTGTGTGTGTGTGTGTGTGTGTGTGTGTGTGTGTGTGTGTGTGTGTGTGTGTGTGTGTGTGTGTGTGCGCGTGTGCGTTCTCACATCTCCAGGACGGTCTTGAGTTGCTCCAGTTTGGACTTCTTCTCCTCAATTTCACAGTCGTTATGTTGTCCAAGTTCAAGCAGCAGCAAACGAGCGATGTCCAGCACTTCCTGGAAAAAGGCAGCCTGTTCGTTCGCAGTTTTCGACAGTTTTCTCCTTTTTGCAAATACGCAGTAATAACGTGATTAAATGGAATGCAAAGAACGGCGCAGTTTGAGTAGTAAGCTGCAACAATAGTCTTTTTTTTCCCAAAGAGGATAAAGAAGATGTACATGTGACTGGCAAATTGTCTGTCTACGTGTGTTGCTGCGTGCTTTATGCTCAAATATCAAAGAGTTTGAAGAGAGCCACTGGCTTCGTTTTTGCAGAATTGTCCTCTATCTGCTGTTTGTTTTGAAGTCTTTATCGCCCGCGGCAGAGGTTTTAGCCCGCAACAAAAGCCTTCCCCCCCAAAAACAATTTTTTTTTTAAATTGGCCAAATGACATCTCGTAACTGTCGAGATGCCGCAGTGGAGGTTGTTAATGGTTAAGGAAAAGAGTTGCAGCTCACCTGAAGCTGTTTTGGTTTTTTCAGCTTGAGCTTTCCTGACTTGTAACCGCCGCACTTCTCAAACAACTCAAAGAATCTGTGAGGGGTCAGACAGAAGAATACGGAAAGATTGATCTTGCGATGGTAGGTTAAGTAATAAAAAAAAAAAAAAAAAAAAAGTGAGCTGGTCTGTGTGTTCAACACGTACAGAGGATGTCGAACCTCCATTTTCATTTTCTGCTTTGGTGTGCGGTCGCCATGGCGAATAATGGCGATAACGCAGCGCAGCTCCATCCTGTGTCATGAGGAAATGAAGTTAAATGAGGCGCAATAAGCACACCGCTTCATGCCAAAAAACAGCCCAGCAAAACAACTAACGGTCGGCCTGTTTTGAACAAGAGCACGTCAGAACTACACAAACACACAAAACCAAGTTGTGTCTTTTAAAAATCAAAAGGATGAAACCTAATTCTGGACAGCTGGGAGAAACTCTCTTACAAGAGATAATTCACTTGGCAAAACATTGCACAGTGCACAAAACTCAAAACAAAAGTACCTCTTTCTCATTTTCAGTGAGATTACAGTTACATCTGTTTACCTTGCCGTATATTCACGACCACACGGTGCACCGTATTAAAAGGCCTAGCGTCAGTTACGGGCGCTATTTCCGTATTGAACACATTCACAAGACGCATTGTTTTATCGGACGCAGGCATGGTAGCTTAAAAAAATACGCGAGCACGCATGCACACTAGCGTATGTTTTTACGAAGGCAGCAGGAGCAAAACTGAGTGTGGTTGTATTTTATTAGAAGTATTTAACAATGTACTCATGTCATTTTTGGGATTAAACTGTGCTTTGCTAGCGCGTCTCTTCTTTGGTGCCGTTTTCTGGATGTTATTCCACATAGCTGCACCTACTGGGGGCATGCCTTTCACGTCCTCTTTCAAGCCCACCCTTCCCACTTTACCGTCCGCCTTTCCGTGATATAAGCAGAACCTTTGGAGAAAAGGTTTTTAAGTGCGCCTTTCAGGTGTGAAAATACAGTAATAAACTCAAGAAAGAGGAGAAATACATTTCTTAAAAAAAAAAAAAAAAAATTGTATATTATTTGGGGACATTTATTGGCTCTGTATGGGAGCATAAATAAATTGGGGGGGAAAAAATACACATTACATGTCCAATATCTTAATGAACAATAATTTCCCCCTTCTTGTCCCAAACTATTTTGAGCCTGATTGTTTCTACGTACATGGTTCCTGAGGTTGTGGGCACAATGGGGATGTCTTCGGCCTCCATCGGAATGGACCAGGGAATGTGGAACTGGGGGGCCAACTCTCTCATCACCATGTTTCTGTCGAGGAGTGGGAAAAAAAAAAAAAAAAAAAAAAACATGACTGAATGACAGCTGACAGCTGCCAGCCAATTAAGCTTTCATTATATTTGCACACGGCTTTGTTTTGCGGCTGCCAAGGAATCCTTTTTTTCTAAGCGCCTCGGGGCTCCCCTTCACACACACGCGGCGGTTTCCGTTGACACCATCGCGGATGTCGTCGTCACGTTTCCGAGTGCGCTTGGAGTGACGGCGTGATAAATCAGAAGTGCAACTGAGCCGCAAAGCTGTCAGCAAGTTCCGCGAATGAATTACGGCAGACTTACTGCAAGGCTTGAAAAAAAAAAAAAAAAGGCACTCGGCATCTTTGATATCAGCCTAGGGCGGGAAAGAAGTGAACTGGAGAAAAAAAAAAAAAACATCACCGCAATTAGTTGTTAATGATACATGTATTTGAGGGAGGAATTGTTTGTCTTGAGTGGCATCTATCATGGAAACTAACATGAATCATTTGTTTATATTTGAGGAAAACATTTGAAGCATGTGCGACCGATATTCAAATTAAGTAAATCCAAAGGATTTTTTTTCCCCCACTGATGAGTGACGGCCACAATTGGTTTAAATTAAAGGATCAGACAGCGTAAAATTCATTTTCCAGCATTCAATTAGTCAGTGTGTGTAAAGAATAAAAGTGAAAATATCAATGATTCCTTGAAAAAAAAAAAAAGGTTAAAGCCAATCAAGCATCAAAATGATGATGACAACCTGTACGCTGAAAAAAATGGTGTGTTGTATTTACTCCATTTTACTTTGTCAAGAGGCGGCACACAATCAAATCATCATCATCATCTGAATTTAGATTTTTTTAAGCGGATGGATTGTCCAATTAAAAAAAACAAAAAAAAATCTCTGGATGCAGATGGTTTTATTTTTTCATGCAACCACTTGACAAAATAAAATGGAGCAAATTCAACACACCATTTTTTTTCAGTGGATACTGCCATCACTGGACATTCGGGAGCACTTCACGTGATACCTGCGACTTACAACGAGCTGTAAACAAGACTGCTCATTTTGGACTTGTTTCTTGGACCGTTGTGCCATAAAAACGCCCTATGGTGTCGTCAAGTGCTCCTGTAATTTAGGTGGCACTCCTCGCCGTCGGGTTTCATGTTCTTCCCGTTCCTTCAAGTTAATTCCACACCGATGTCTATCCGTGAAAATCAATACAGTCTTTGTTCTGACACGGAGACCGTTGCGTGGAGAATTTATTGCGGCTCACTGCATTTGTGTCGATTTGTCAAGCAGGCGATTTGTTTGCTTTGACCGCCCCGGGGAGACTCACCCGAGCACCTTGGCACAGTCGTCGTAATACTTCATGGAGTTTTTGACGAAGCTGAAGCCGTTGACGTCGCACACAAACGAGTGGCCGTTGGCTCGGAGCAGGTCGAAGCCGCAGACCGTTTGCTGGCACACACAAAAAAGGTTAACGAACCGTTCGAGAGCCAGACAAAAAAAAAAAAAAAAAAGGCAGAAATCGAGCAGGTCGCGAAGCAGGAGGAATCCTGTCGGTTACTTTAAAGGCCAGGCAGACTTTCCGGGCGACCAGCTTCTCCATGGCGGTCAGCATGACGGGGTATCGGATCTCCTTCCCTTCGCTGTCTCGCTCCACTTTGCCGTCCAGCGCGGGAGACTTCCGGGCCTCCGCGTGGGCGTAATCCGGACCCACCGTGTACACCTGACCGACAACATTCATAAAGATGGAATTTGTTTCTGCGGACAGCGCAAAAAAAACAACAAAAAATCATCACAGACAGTGCACATGAAGCGCCAGGGTACCTTCACGTCAGTCCCGTCTGTGGGCATGAACTCCTCGTAGATGTACGACCCCGTCTTCCGAACGCTGCTCTCCGGGGAATATACGCTGCTGCGACTGCCGATCTTTATGCAGAAGGTAATGCGAGGGAAAGCAAACAAACAAAAAATGGCTTGCTGTCATCCTGATACGTGTTAATCAAGTTCGAAGCGTCAACCCAAACTCCTTGCCAGTGATTCCCCCTTGCGGATTTCTACAGGCAGCATGAAAGACTTTGGTTGACGATGCAGGAAAGCAGGAGAGGTGTTCTAATCCAAGTTGGCATAGTTCACAAAAACTAATGAAATAGCTCATTCTAAAATTGGAGGAAAACGTTTCATGAAGAAAATAAAATTAGCATCTTTTAAAAGAACGAAAATTGATTGAAACTACATTGAAAGTTGACAAAATGAACTAAAAGTAACAACAAACATGTCTTTTGTTTTCATCTTTGTCAATTAATTTCCTAAATGAGCTTCCGGAAGAAGTTGAACGGTTGTTTGGGAAGTGTTGTTTACTTTTTTATATAATACTTATTGTGATTTTTTTTTTTTTTTGCATTCAAATACTCCATATATATTTAAAAAAAAAAAAATAAAAAAAAAAAACTAAACCGATACTAAAACTATTACAAGCTAAACATGTCAAAAAAATAGAAGCTAATAAAAAGTAACAAACCCACTTGTAAAGGGTATTAAAACTAGCTGACAAAAGCAAAACAAAAATGAACGACAATGACAAAATCCCAAACTATGGCAACCCAAATTGACCGTTTCCGGCATACAATTCACGATTCAAGTGCCTTCATTTTGCCATTTTTGTGGGTTCCCAGGGGTTATGACTGATGACCTTTGTCTTGTTGAATAAATCGCACCGATTAACAGTAAGCGGCGTCGGTACTTCTTCCGAACGCGATGCGAAGCGTTGAATCCAAGCCTGCTTCATGGCGCCTTGGGATTTTACCTTTCGAAAAAGCCTCTGGCTGCCGCCGCCCGCGGACGTTGGGTAGTAGATGTAGACGTTGTGGTCTTCGGCGCACACGGGCTTCTCCACAAAAGGTTTGGGGAACACCTCCCCGTTCACCTCCACGTGGTCCTCCGCCTCCACCAGGTTGCACTCTTGACACGCGTACGCTTTCAACAACCATTTACAATGATGTTCATTCCTACCCCCACCCCCTGAATGTTTACCTTCCGGATTGTCCGGGTCTCGCTTGAGCACACCATATCGAGGTAGCTCGATGCCCTCTTCTTGAAGGATGCGATACACTTCCCTCCTGTGGTAGCAGGCAAGCGTACGGAAAGTGACATCCTCATTTTTATTTATTTATTTTGTGCATGCAAATACGTCCTGTTTTTCTACTTTTTTCCCTCCAAATTTTGCTGCTGTAAATTGTTAATTTCTCCATTGTGGGACAAATGAAGGTTTTCTTATCTTATCTTGACGTTTGTGTGCGTGCGCACGTGTGTACCTGTCCTGTATGAAATACTGCATGTTGAGGTCATTGATGAGCAGTGGATTCCTGAGTTGAGCGTATTCCACAGCTTTGTCCAGCGGAAAACCTGCACAACGATGCGCACCCACAAAAAAAAATAAATACATAAATAAAATAAAATTTTCAAAGTTTGATCCATTGGCATTTTTTTTTGTATTTTGTTATTCCAGCCTCGGTGAATTAGATGGCATTAACAGCATGGCACTGGCGCGTCTGCAATGAGTAAGTGCACTAAAAATGACACAAAATGGTCATCACCCTCCCATGATATATTGTGACTCAACAAACAAACAAACAAACACACACACACACACACACGCACGCACACACAGATGATTTGCTTGACTTTTTAATGAGAAGTACGAATTAATACACGTGTCTGAAGATTTTAACTTTTATTTATTACTTTATTAGAATAATTGGCTGTGTTATAAAAGCACTTTTTTTCGCGACTTAGAACAACTGTTAAAAAATAATTGATGTATTATTTCTTTTCCGTGACCCGGTGATCAAGTGGTTAGTGCGTCAACTTCACAGTGCAGAGGTTGTGGGTTCGATTTCACTCTAAATTGTCCCTAGGTGTGAGTGTGAGCGCGGATGGTCCTTTGTCTCTGTGTGCCCTGCGATTGGCTGGCAACCGGTTCAGGGTGTCCCCCGTCCACTGCCCAAAGACAGCTGGAATAGACTCCAGCACCCCCCGCGACCCTTGTGAGGATAAAGCGGAGCGGAAAATGGATGGCTGGATAAATATTTATTTTCTTTAATTTATGACATTTAGTTGAGTGCAATATACTGATGTCTTGTGGGCGCTATATCATAATGTAGTAACATTTGCTATGTGATTAAGTGAAACCGGACAATAAATTGAGTGATTAAGAGCCCAAAGTAAATATTGGCTCATATCTAAACCTTCTGCCTCTGCTATTGTTGGAACCTTAAATCTCTGGATATAACTTTGGAGAAAAAAAAAAAAAGTACGGGACTGATGCGACTGCTACCTTTGGAGTGAAAGGAGATGAGGCAGTCGCACAGCGGCCATTTGTCCACGGGCTCCTCCAGGATGACGTCCTCGGGAAAGATGACCACCTCGATGTAGTCAAACTTGCAGAGGCGCTCCAAGATATGAGTCATGGGCTTGGACTTGGACTTCTTCATCATGCAGCAGATGCCCACCACAATCTGCCGCTCGGATGGCTGACGGGAAGGAAAGCGACAAGCTCGTAAAAAAAAAAAAAATGGCCGAGGAGCACGCTAACAGTAAACTGCGCTACGGGAATGCCAAAAAGGTGATTGGGAATCAACTCAATTTAGACTACTGGCCAACTTGGCCATCTTGGTTCGACAGAAATACAGCTACCCAATTATTATTCTTTTTTTAAAAATCAATAATCAACAAGTTATCCCATAGAATATTCACAGAAAATGATTGCGGTACTCATATCTGTTGTCCCATTTCGAGTGGCAATCCTTGCCTTCAGACTGACCGAGTCGTCGTCTTCGTCCTCCCTGCCTTCTTCTCGGAAGATGTCGATCTTTACGTCCGCCTCCATTGGCTGCATGGCGGGCTCGTCGTCGTCGGAGCAGACTTCTCCGCCGCCGCGCTCCGGACCATCCCCGGCGTCCGGCCGCCGTCCGGCACAGGTTTCGGACATCAGGTGTGTGGCATGTCCAGCTCGGGATTAAGTTGCGATTCCCAGATTCGGCCGCAGGAGATATCGGTCGCACTTTCTGAGGAACTTGGTGTTCTTGTGACCGAGAGTCTCACCAGTGGGGTTAAAGTGAAGAGGTAGAAACCCCGACTTGGTCTGCTCGTGTCAGGACAGCGGCAAAGTTGCGGCCCCGGAGTACAACATGATGCAGTTCCTCACCGGGTCAACTTGACCATGCGCCGATGCAGAGCATTGTTCTTTCGCCCCTGGCGACACAAAAAAGCAAAAAGCAACTTTACTGTGCGAGATAGTCGCGTTACCACATCTATTAATGCCTGAGAAACCTCAATTACGCAACAGGAGGAAAAAAAAAAAGGAGCACGTTCGCAAAAGTTATGCGCCACTGACAACGTGACGGTGTGAAAGAATCCCTGCTGCAGACAAATATTTGCCGAGAAACGCACTGACAAGTGAATCGACACAACTCCTGCAACACTTTTATTCCAGCTCGACTTCTGTGTTGACACTTTATGTGCAGTTTGGATGTACATTTTAATTGTATGTAGTGATATAGTGAAATAGTCACTGACAAAAAAACAAAACCAAACTGATAAAGGCACAATATTAGAAATGGGCACTCCAATCCAAAGTTAGAATTTTTGGTTTTAGCGTTTTCATTTTAATTAGCTTTTATTTATTTGTTGTGACTTTTAAATTTCAAATTAAATTAGATATATTTTTAATTCAGGTAGTTTTAATTAGAATTTAGAACAGGTTTGTTGAGTTTTATTAGTTTTAGTATTAGGTTTTTATTTTGGTTTTAATGGAAGATTTGTCAAGGGCATGAAAAAAAAAAAACGTTGACTGTTTTTTTTTTTTTTAAGCCAAATCACACATGTGAACTTCAGCAAAAAATATAAATAAATAAAAATAAGAATTAAAAAAGGTCCAAGTCTGAGAGAGCCACTCAAAAGGCTGAGTGGACTTGACAAAGCGAACAAGAAGAAATACCTGAAACCGGATTTTGCCCCATGTGACGACTACAATTCAATCTGTCTTTGATCTGCCTGCGAGCCTCGCGGTTGAAACACACGTTAACAGTCCACACACAACACGAACTCCATGACACGGCACTTTCTCTTCCACGTGATTCCCAACTAGCGTGGCGTGAGAGACCATCAGGGTGCCGCGGCAAGTCATCCGATTTCACTCCACTTGTCCAAAACTTCTCACCTACGAATGACAAACTTATCTTTGTTCGTCTATCTCTGCCAGTCATGCATGTGGCGCCTGCACCGGGCCCTTCGCCAAACACAAATACCTTCAGCACCCTGCCTTGAACATGGTGGATCTTCACTCAGCCTAAGTTTCAAAGTCATGGGGTGAGAAAATGGTTTCATCACATTCTGGCAAAATTCACAACGCCTCAATCAAAGCAGCAAATAAAACACCAATTTCGATTCAGTTGTGAGTGCGCACCTGCTGATTGCGCACACTGTGCCTCACCCAAATCCCCCCTCCCCCTCTCACACGCTCTTGTTAACAGTTCAACCTTGGTGGCGGTCCGCCTGTGTTGCGGCATTTCTCCAGTGACATATCTCAAATAATCTCCCGCCGACCTTGGCGCCTATAAATAACCGCGAGACGGGACCTGAGGCGGCCGAGCCAAAAGGGGGAAATTTATACACACAGCGACGCTAACCAAAAGATAAATTAGCCTGGTTTAGCTTTGAGGTGATGACAAGTGGTACTTCAACTAAGAAGAGACCCTTCTTCCTGGGCCGAGCGGAGATCCGGTAAATGTGTACACAAATACCTGGAAGAAGGAGACACTTTAGTGATGCCGCATTTGTGATCTTGACAAACCATCGGAAGTTCTCGACACCCAACAAACTGTTTTGAGCGCGATTCCATTTTATGTCCTGAGCCGCAAATAGCATGGCACTTCCTGTCTGCAAATCAGCGCCTAAATTAGCTCGATGACCACAAACGTTCCCTGGCGTCACTTCAGGTCTGCATTAGCCCCCCAAAAAAATTTGAACGTCTTCACGAGACAACGAAGAATTGACGCATCAGAACAGGAATGTAAAGTGTGGAAGACATTCACTTGCATCCAATATTTAGTCACTTATTTCGAATGCCAGACCTGATCCCCAGTCATCCATCCATTCTGTCTGGCCGCAGGGGAGCTGGCACGAACACGTTTTGTGAATGCAGGCCGAGTACCGGACAAAACCCACGCTAGCACGGCGAGAACACCGACAGGCCGGAGTCGAGATTTGAATCACGAACCTCAGGACTAAAAAGGCAGACGTGCTAACCAGACGGTCCCTGTGCTGCTCGCTTTCAATCACTATAAAACACAAATCAAAGCACAAATACAAGCCGAGTGTCCTAAAAATCATTGTACACTGTTTTTTTTTTGTTTTTTGTTTTTATCCTACTCTTCTCTCTTTTGTGAGGCATCATAAGCAGATGCCAGCACAACGCTGCAGTCTATCTAGTGTGGGACAAGTGCAGTGGATGCTTTGGATACTCATAAAGCTTTACCTGTACTGTCTCATGATCTTCCACTTGAAGCATTTGGCAGCATAAATTGTACCACACATTGAAGCAGTGCGACGGCCATAAACCTCAAACCGGCGTCGAAGCGCAGTCAGGGAGAGAAAAACTTACTGGCAGGCAGCAATTTCGCAATGCTGTTCCAAAGTCAATTAGCGAGCCACGGACAAGGGGACCCGATATACTTATAAAAACGGCGAAGCTGATTCTGTCTAATGATGCTGGCCTCACGGCTGCCCGAATGACACCTGAAAACAAAATGTTAAGAGTATTACCTAGAACATTAAGAGTAAAGTTTGGGACTTTCTCTATCAAAATGAAGAAAAAGAGGTGAGAGAAAAGCAATACAAGAACATGATAAAACACCGCCTCTTCCGAAAAAAAAAAAAAAAAACGTACTCACATCTGACAATTAAAATTATACTTAAACAAAACACCAGAAGACGACGATAAAACCTCCATCCCACCATCGCCCGTTACCTTGAATATGGAATGCAGCAAAGTGCTCCCACAACCAGTTAATGAGATGCCATTAGCTACAGAGTCTGGCGTGAAGTGTAAAATCCTTGTTGGCCAGGGGACAACTGCTTTCAACACAACGGAGCGGTTGAAGTGAGAGTCAGGTGTAAAACTCCACATGACAGCAACACAAAAAATGGCAGAAAAAAAACGCCAGCTTTTTACAAGCGGTGTAAACGAGACTCATAAAAGCCACAAGTGTGTCTTTAACCTTTGAAACAGTCTGTCGAAGGAAGGCCGTGTTGAATTTATGGGACTCTTGATTAGATGAATGAGAGCAACGAGCCCAGTAACGCAAAATAATCGACATGACCGAAGGATACGAAGAATGCTAATGATTCGTTCGGCCGATATCGACGCTACTTATTCTGTCCACGGTCACTTTTCTCACATTTCATATTTGTATTATTTACTGTGGTTTGTTTGTTTTTTTGTTTACTTCCATGTGTCACTGCCTCGTGTTGACACGCTTGTGGAACGTTGGATTCAAATAAAAACACATTTTCATCACAAATCCAAGATGTAATGGCGTTTTCAAACATTTATCCTTCACAGTCTGACATATAGTCTGACATATAGTGATATCGGCACGTCACCATTTTTATTGTGGTTTCGTGTTCTAACAATTAAAAAAAAAAAGAAAGTAATACGGTCGTAAGTTGCACAGTGCAACCCAAGCTATGGTTGAAGTGAGCATTCTTATCGAAGTGAAGGCAGACATTTTGGGCATAGGCCGTTAAACGGAGCTAAACTCGACTGCCAGCACCTCCGCGCCGCGAATGAATGGAGCGTGGGAACTGAAAGCGTTCACAACACAACTTCCTGACTCCCAACTTCACGTCCGTGGGTCTCTTCAGCGGGGCAGCTTGTTCCACGCGCACGGCGGCCACTCAAACGCAATTCGCTCAAACGAATTCGCCGCCGACACTTGGCCACGGGTCGGCTGACAGGACATTGGTTTAAATGAGCGCCACTTACCCGCGAGAAGGTCGTCAAAAGTGTCCCCGCCGCGTCCACTTCCTTGTTTGCTTCCCCACCCCCTCCCCCAGTGAAGTGGACCCGAGGGGAAGCTGGCGAGAAGTTCACGTCCGGTCAACGGCCAGCTAACTACCGCAACAACTGACGCCGACGGACGCAGACATCCTCCCCCTCCGGGAACCTCCAACCAACCCCCTGCGGCTCCCCGCAACCATTACCGGTCTTTGGTGCGCGCCGCCATGGGGGAGAGCGTAGCTGTCCCCGTGACGGTGCTGCCACCTAGCGTCGCGTTTTGGGTCACTGCAACACACGCGACAATCGGTGTGGAGGCCAAGCTTTGGCCCGTGGGCCAAATACGGCCCTCGCGTTCTACGCGGCCCATCATGCCGATTGATATTAAGGCAGTATATTTTTTAATTAAATTATGAATTATTCAAATTCTTATGATTATTGTGCAGCACATGAACGACTGGTCAACAAATCAGATGACTGCTTACCACGGGCGCCTCACAAAGTTTGATGCTGTGCCCTCGCTTTTTTTTTTTTTGTAGAGTGTGCATGTTTAGCAGCTGACATCAGAAGAAATGCAGACTACACTGTGGATTGGTTAGCAGAAGGAATATCCGATACCACTTTTTACAAACCCATACCAGCGCGATGATTCACGATGCCTCAAAATAAAAAAAATTGATTTAACACAGTGGCAAAAAAACTGAATACCTGTACTTTATTTTTTGACCCAGATGGTGATTCACGGACGTGTCAAACTGCAGCAGTATAGCACCAACTACTACTGAGGAGGATGTTTTTTTCGCCTTAAGTATCATAAATAAACCAGTATCGGCCCGATACCGATACCTGGTATTGGTGCTCGTCGATCCTTACTCCGCAGCAGTCAATCACAGGGCATATATGGAGACAGACAGCCTATTCACGCTCACATTTGCACCATCACTGTGTGGGAACTGATGCCGCGCTACCCAAAGAGTGAGGCAAATGTATCATTACACCGTCGGTGATCCATTATTAGTATTATTATCATTATTACATTTCTTAGTTTAAACCTTTTAGCCTTGCAGATACCGTAGCTAACTGTATGAAAGACATCACATTGATGTCCACAATTTCACTTTTTTGCTTCTCTCTGAGTGACATACCCGCACGCCAGCTAGGCGAGCTGGTATGGCTGATCCCAGCCTGGCACGCCGTCTAGAAAGTGCGGTCCCATCATGCAACAGTACATGAGAAGCCAGTCTGTGCCGCCACATAAGGAAGTGAGTGTTCTCAACAAGCCAGTAACGTAAATTCTCCCTCCTTCCTCTTGGTACTCTATCACCGCCTATGCTGCATCCAAATGTGTCCAGGGGAGAAAAAAAAAAAATTAAATATTATGTAACACGTATTAAAATAAAAAAGCAGTATTTCGAATGAAGGCCGTAGTGTTTGCGGGATCCGCTCTCAATCATTGAAGGTCATCGCACCTTCAGACAATCAAATCTTTGTTGTGTTCCTGTGGAGGAAACTAAGGCAAGTGGGCCCCTTTGAAATAAATTACTCAAATGAATGTGCACCGACACGATGATCTTGATAGAAATTCCAATTGAGTCTTTGTCAGACACCTCCAAAATGCTTACTCATACACTTACTGTCAGTACAATGTCTCCGTAATCAATCAGTCCATCCTTCGCCAAGTCCAAAATGTGACCAAAATGTGTCTTATTTGTTAGTTCATAAGCGACGGCACTGCAGAGAGTGGTCAGCACATCCACCCCGATTTCAGAGTTCATGGGTTCGAGTTCCATCTGTGGCCTCCCTTTGCATGTTCTCTACCCAGGACTAGTTGTCACTCAATCACAGTCCGCAAGTACAATGCAGTAGCGTTTAATATTTTAGAACGGCTTTTTTTCAAACGTTTAACAAACATCCAACTTTTCACCCTTGAGTGCAATACATTTTAACCAAATCATAATTTAATTTTTTTTCTTCTGTATTTAAGTGCAGGGTGAGACGAAGTGGCCTCCTGTGCTGCTGTATTTTAGACAAGATTTTGCGAACCGGATAGTCGAGCATTTTTTTTTTAGGTGGTAACTGCTTTAAAAAGTTCAAGATCCACAGCGGACGACCCTTGAAACTCGAACCACGCCACCCGAAATTAATTATTCATTTAACGGGGCACAAAGAGTCTTATCAAATCGAGCATGGAGCGAGTATTCATAGCGTTTTTTTTTTCTTAGTCCTTTAACGGCACTGCATATATTTGGTGAATCCAGACATTTTTTTGTGGGGGTGGCAGCTCCTTCATTTAAATTCCTCAGCGGACACGGTCACCAGAGCTGCCAGCTTGTCTCGCACATCCACATGTACAGGTATGCATGCGCGTTTAAATTTAGGGAGCCGAGCAGGATCAGCCCACAGCCATAAAGCGGCCATTCACGTCCGCTGGAGGGGAAGGCTGCGGCCCTCCCACTCGACCGACTGCCGGAGGAGACTGTGTCAATACACGCACTGACGCGAGCACACACACGGGCGCGACGACCAGATGCACAGTCAGCCAGCACCGAGTGAAAGAAGTTCTTATGATTACCAGGGCCCCCGAGGGACATACAGTATGTCATGATTAGCTGGCGTACGTGCTACTGAAACGCAGATCTCAGTTTATTATATGAGCGCAGTTGAGAATGACAGCTGAAAGGATTTCGGCAGTGTGTATGAGAACAAAGGAAGCAGTTCCAAACAGAACTCGGCGTGAGCGCAAAACTTCTGCTAGAAATCCCCCCCCCCCCCGCACCCTCTCAAAAGGTCAAGAAAAGCCTACTTGAACAGCTGAACTTGATTTGGGGTTCATTTAAGGCATTTTTAGTGGTGGCAGGTGTGTGCTGACTTTAACATAAATTCAAATGTCATTGGTGAATTACAAACACGGCCACATTTCAATTAGAATAGGTCATGCACAATTATTTCATTTTTTTTTCGACTTCCCCTCTTAAAATTATTTTCAAAAAAATTCAATTGAGCTGTACAGGTTGTAGGCCACAATGATAGTGGAATTTTTTTGTTGTTGTTGTTTTTTACTGCATATGCACAGTATTGCATAAAATACTGTATTCATTTGTCCATCCATCCATTTTCCGCTCCGCTTTATCCTCACAAGGGTCGCGGGGGATGATGGAGCCTAACCCAGCTGTCTTCGGGCAGTAGGCGGGGGACACCCTGAATCAGGCTAGAGTACCTCTGCACTGTGAGGTCGACGCGCTAACCACTGGACAACTGGGCCGCCCTATTCATTTGTTAATTGTAAAAAATAAATAAATAATAATAATAATAATAATAAAAAATACCTGCACATTTAACAATACATTGTTTACTTTTTATCAAGTTGGCTTGTTAATTGTAGCTAGTCACAAACATTTAAAAACTGCAAATGAATTCCTTTTAATTAAAATTAATTTTGCACACCCACTCACAATGAGCTCCTTTTTTTTTTTTTAACTTCATCTCCGATTGACTCGGCCTATTGGTCCGTTTGAAAAGTCAAACGCACAAGTTTCCAGCAGAATATTTTCTGCACAAAAGTGTACGGGTGGGCTATATCTTCCAAGTATGTGTCGGGTGTATACGGCACAGTTAGCATATTCAAGTCTATATCTGGGTGTGTAAATACGTGTTGTGTGTCCTGCTATTCCTGGACGTGTCATATCTGACGTGTCATATTTATACAGCGTATATATAAGTAAAGGAAATCCTTATTGATGAGATCAATATTGCATCATGTCGCCCCAGCGGGATACAAAACGGATGGATGAATGTGTCACGATGATGAGCTGTGATGGGAGGCGGTGGAGGGGGGGGGGGGCATGAGGTGAGAGAGGCGTGCAAACACAAAGTTGCTTTTTGTCTGAAAACCCACAAGGTCACGTCAACACATTTTTACATGTCTAAATGTGGCTAAACCAGAAGCACGTGAAGTAATAAAAAAGTGCAGGGAAAGTCAAGCGGACCAAAGTGCGTCCACTGAAACGGGCAGAATTGCATCACCCCAAACGGTATCCAAACAGACAGACAGCAGCGAACGTAGCAACGTAAGCAAGCCAAAATGATGAACTGAAACGAGACGAATAAATCCGACAGGTGGAGGTCAGAACACTCAATCCTGCCACCGCAGTTCACTTATCGTGCTGCGGCACTGTCTGGAGCAAATCAAAAATAACATTTGCTTCAGTTAAAACCAAAGCTAAACAGAGGTGGTTGTTTTCGTCAATGAAGAAAAGAGGATTGCTGTGAGAATACACCTGGAGTCAGTAGATTTGATTGGCGTGACGCTCTTCTGACTGGGCTCCCTCAAAAGAGCATCAAACAGCCGCAGCTCATTCAGAACGTTCCAGCTCGAAAAGAAATGCTCACGGAGCAGAAGTTCGGTGGGGTTCGGAGGTCAGCAGAATGGTCAGTTAGTGGTGTCCAGATTTCAAAGCAAACATGGTGCATCAGTATTTTGATGTTGTGCTGCACACGCATGGAAGAAGCTGCCAACAAAACTGAGGTGAACCCCAATTGCAAATGCTTTTCAATGTACGTTCTTTTAGCAATTTTGGTAAGCGACTTTTGCTTACTCCGCTTTGCATCTGAATGTGGTCAGCCGTCGCGTTTGTAAATCTGCTTGCGTGAAGCACGTTGAGTTGTCTCGTGTGTGTGGAATGCGCCATCTAAATAAAGCGGCCGTGCCTTTGACGCCAGCTAAACTCATCAAGTGAAACAGGTAAAATTTTTAAAAAATGCCTCCAGGTGGAGGTACTTTGTTCCGGCGATGCAACGGGCAGCTTCTGTGAGTCGGGCATCGACGGAAAGACGCAGAGTGCAGTAACCGAAAACGAAAACAGTCTGTCAGCTGAAAGAGGTCCGAAAGTGCAAGCACGTGCCCATGCGGACATGCGCAAGTGGGCGTGTGCAGGTGTGTGCGTGCGGCCCAGTCCGTTTTGAGAAGAACTCTGTTCCGAGTCACCGCGGCAGTTGCTGCTCATGTTTGCGGATTGTAAAAGTGAACGTAAAAACATGACTCACGCGGGACGTCTGTTTGCGGAGAGTCACGTCAAAAGAAGAGTCATGGATAAAACGGCGCATTTGGGCGTCTCGTGTCGATTTTGTGAGTCAGATCACCAACTTGGCGGCAGGCTTTTTTTACAGGC